GGAGTTGAAAACAGACTTATGAAGTCAAACATTTCATAGTCATCACAGATCATTTATTTATTTAATTTTTAGTATTATTATGGCAATAACAAAAGAGTCACAGTATATAAAAATAAGTCTGTGCAAAAATACTTTTTAAATAATAAGGGTATTATGAATCAAAACCAAATATTATATATATAATAATTAAAATATATAATCATTATAATTCTAACTTTATATATATATATATATATATATATATATATATATATATATATATATATATATATATATATATTTCTGACAATTTGCTTAATTTAGTAGATTTGAGTTATTAATTAATATCGCGATACTATAGTAAACTTCTTGGTATTGTAATACTTCAGCTGGTATAGTATAATGACATGAATTTGTGGTATTGTGACAACCCTAAAGCATGCACACACAAATTTGACCTCTTCCCAACAGGAAAACCTGATTATTCGTTGTTGTGGCTTTGCAATTATAAAATGTCAAATGGGGCAAAAACAGCCATTAACATAATAAAAATTTAGATACATTGCTAGAATGTATTGTTGATGCTTTGAAAAATATCAAAGCATTTCCCAAACTATTTGTTAAAATAAAAATCATCAACAAATATAATTCCACTTGCTGAAATACAAAAAAGGTTGTAGACAAATTAAGCCTCAAAATTACACCAGAGTGGATGAAAACATCCACAACGGAATATACAGGTTAATAAACGATTAAACAGAATCCATGTAAAAAAGATTGTTCAGTTTTTACAAAACAATTTATATGGCTCTTGTTAAAACCTTTAATATAAAAAATAAATAAATAAAAAATCCACGCTGTGTCATCTAAATAATATTTATCCTGCCCTGCTTAACAGTTATAATTTGTTGTTGTTGTTGTTTTTTAATAATAAATGGTAGAAATACTTTTATTGAATCAATTTTTAAAGAAAGATTTTATTACTGTTTTACTGAAATTGTCCAAGTAATGATCCAGAATGACTTCATTCAAATACATGTTTTTTTTTTTTTTTGTCTTTGTTATTGGTATATTTATTTATTATATGCCATTTCTGAGACTATTATCATACTGTAAAAAGCTCTTACCTTTACAACCCTAATGTCCTAATGTTTAGGATCCCAGTTACTAAACCAAGTATAGCAGTCCAAAAATCAAAACACCTTTTTTGGCCCCAACTCCAATGAATCCACACAAACAGATAGCCAGATTGACAATACCAACAGGAGCAAGTGTGCCTGACTTTCGAGGCTACATGGTAAACAACTACACATGACTACATGATAACTAATATATTTTTTCCATTTTAAAAGAAGTTTTTGTAATAAGCATAACCTGAAAGTTCTATTTTAGAAATGGTTTATAAGCCTATTTCTCATGGCTGAACAACAACATATAAAATGATAATAGTGACTATGACAAACTAAGATATTGATAATCTCAAGTACTAATTATGTAACTTATTAACTAACTTATTCAATGTTAATGCAACCAATGTGATTTTGAATACCATTTTACAAGACATGTATTGCCATAATGAAAACTGCAGCATATAGTTTATCTCAGATCTTGTAAATAAGCATATACAGTTGAAGTCAGAATTATTAGCCCCACTTTTTTCTCTTTTTTAACAGAGCAGGGACATTTTCACAGTATGTCTGATAATATTTTTTCTTCTGGAGAAAGTCTTATTTGCTTTATTTCGGCTAGAATAAAAGTAAAATAAAATAAAAATAAATTAGCCCCTTTAAGCATTTTCTTTTTCTATAGTCTACAGAACAAACCATTGTTATACAATAACTTGCCTAATTACCCTAACCTGCCTAGTTAACCTAGTTAAGCCTTTAAATGTCACATTAAGCAGTAAAGAAGTGTCTTGAAAAATATCTAGTCAAATATTATTTACTGTCACCTTGATAACAATATAATAAATCAGTTATTAGAGATGAGTTATTAAAACTATTATGTTGTGTTAGAAATGTGTTGAAAAAAATCTGCTCTCCATTAAACAGAAATTGGGGGAAAAAATAAACAGGGGGGGCTATGAATTCTAACTTCAACTGTAGTTTAGTTTGAAAATTAATGCTAGAATGACTTCAACAAATATCAGTCCCTTAGCATGTACTTTAAATAATGTGAAGGGAGTTTAATGTATTAATTCGATTCTAAATCTGACCATTTCTTTGGATTGTCGCACAAAGCACTATATTGTGTTTTTTATAATAGATCTCGATTTATGTCACTGCCGTGTCACATCATCTACTATTGGGACACAATGCAGGGATCGTCAATAAGGACTGCCTTATGGCCTGGGGCCAGTGTGCGAGACGTTAAGACAGTAGATAAAATCATTAGCCGCGTTTCCACTATCGCACCTAAAGCGAGTGAACCAGGGCGATCCAAGGCCAGTCGCGTTTTCACTGTCTTGGGGTGTACACAGCTAGACGATTGTTTTGGAACCTGTCTCGTTTGCCCAGTTAGCGCGTTTTGTTTGGCATATGTGAATCCCGCAATCCTGCAAGTGAATTGGTCTGTCAACGGCTGAATGAGGTTGTCTTGGCTCGATAAAAACAAGCTCTGGAGCGGATAAATTGTAGTGAAAAACAAAACGATCCAACAAATTAATGAATTAGACTATATCACAGTGTATTATGATTGTGTAATAGCCAAATACATGGCTCTAAGAAGAGAGAATTCTGAGTAGGGCGAAATGTCATTCCTACCAGTAAATGTGCGTTTTTGATGTTGAATATATGAAATTGAAAGCATGCTGAAATATTACAGAGAGCTGTTTATTCATTTAGAAACTTAACCAACATTACCATCTGATAACTTTTCCATAATTTAATATTACAATAGTTTGTATTGGGCCTATTGTTTTGTTCATTTCTGCACTGACACCTCGAAAGAACATAGATCTGCTTTATGATCAGACTGCAGTCTTGGTTCATCTGTAATTTCTCTCTATAATTTAAGCCTTTAATGCATAATTCTAGACATTTTTTTAAAAATATAGATTAATTCAATAGATAAAATTTTACAAAACTTGACAACTGAAATGAGGCTATATATGAGAAAGTCTTACCTCTCTGGTTTATATTTGGTGACGATGTCTGTGCGTGTCAAAATTTTTAAAAAGTGCACATTTTCGTCTATATACAAGTTTAGTCAATCAATTTAGTATAATCAAATTTAGTTGCATAACAATTTTATTTATTTTTTTTTTGTTCAGTTGCATTTAAAAAAAATTAAGCTGAATAATAAGTGTATGTATACAATTATGTTTGGCTTTTGACACATTATTTAAAATATGTGGCTAAGAAATAGCTATTAACTTTTTTTGGTGGGGCCAGTGAAAATTTTGGCAGGGCAAGTAAAAATCGGACCAGTAGAAAAAATCCTCGGCGTTAAACCCTGCAATGTTACAATGAATTTAACCTGCTTAGCTATTGTTTAGGTTTGTATTATTATATTATTTGTCAATTAAAAGCACCTCATTTGGAATAAAACTGGGTAAACTGGCAGTGGGCAGGTTATAGAAGCCTTAAACAGACATCTGTGCACATATAACACATTTTCAAAAAAGAAAAACTGTTATTTAGCATTTTTAGTTTGTTGTGTGTTCACTTAGCATGTTTTTAAAATATCTGCAAACATTCTGTTTTATCATTTGGAGGAGTCAAAAACTTACATACAGCACCTTTTGCAGCAGCAAAACTACCTTAAAGGAAGCTAGATTGGGACCAAGTGTGTTCATAAAGTAGAAAAGAGAAATCATGGAAAAAAATAGCAAAAATTGTTGTACTTAACACGAAGCCAGTGAAGACTGGAAAGCAAAGGTTTTAGAAATAATACACACACTTGAGCCTGGATACACACTATTCCCAAAGGAGACCGCACTTTAGCTAATAAGACTGCAGTCCCAGTTTACCATTATCTGCAGTTAAAAAAGGAAACTGTCTTTACATAATTTTAATGATTTATTTAGTTTTATTGATAACCGAGTGTTGTCAATTGAACTATTTTTGATTCACATTTTGAAATGCCTGCACTACATGTTTCCTGCATAAGGCATTTTGCATACATTTGTTCTTCACATCACTGCCTAATTCTGAATTTTATTTATTTTTTATTGGGTTTTATTGAAAAGACACATTCTGTTTAAATATAATATTTTAATTATTTTTATTTGTGTTTTTCTGTACATGCATGTTGTGCTCCAAGTGTGAATATTTAATAATTTTTGTTTGATTGACAGACACGTGTAAAATCGTGGCAAAAGATTTTAAAAAAGTTTAATTTGACACATAATATGTAAAGACCAAATGTAATAATTAAAAAAAAATGCTAAAAACGATTACGTTTTCTGACAGTTGTCAAGACATAACGTACGTTGAGGCATATCATAATAATACAAATTAAAGTGGTCATCCGTCAGAAAAAATAAGACTGTGCCATTATATATGCATGTAGTTTTGTAGTAATAGAACATACAATTCATATATTTCTACTGAGGAAGTTCCTCGTCGGCTCGAGATCCTAAACACGCTCTCGCGACCCCACGAGATGTAGGCGCTAGCTCAAGCTACCAATGCTAGCGGCTAACACGTTAGCTCGCAGACAAAAACAACAGGAAAACACTTCACGGTTCTCTCCTGCCATATGGTTGTAAATAGCTGGAGTTACTTGATTCTGTTTGTTTAATACTTAACGTTAATATGCAAAACATTTGCTACATAGTTAAAATGCATATATGGAAACATTTAAAGACAAAACGTGAGGATTTGACTTAGTGACAACTCAATGGGGTGGTAACGTTAGGCCACAAAGGACATAGCCAGATGAGGCAGAACCGGATCCTGATAGCACAAAACAGAGAAGCTCGTCGAACTAGCCGGGTCACTGGATCTTAACCAAAAATCGGGCATGCGTGTGTTTAGGACAATTTGAAACACTCGGTTAAAACATTATGCATCGCTTACCTTTATATCCTGAGGTTTACTTATGCGACTTTCGGTTGTGAAATGGTTAAATAAAGCGTATGGTTGATCCAGTGTTGTAATTGAGTTGGTTGCTTTGTCTTCTGTGCCGTAAACAGTGCGCTGTAGTAGCGCCACACGGCGTCAGACGGAAGAAACAGTATTCTATGGCGTCATAGAGGCTTTCGATACGGTGGGTGGGGTTAATAAATAAAAACAACATTCTGTTCCATAGTTAATAATATGACATTATCGTGTAGGACTGTGGAAAATATACACGCATAAAATACAAACTACTTATTTTAAAATTAAAACATATCTAAGTAGCTTGTTCACTAAAAGAATCATACGGGGTTTCTTGACCCAAGGGCCTTTCTCAGGGGCAGTTCGTTTAGGTCGGTTTAAAACACGAAATTTACTGCTGTTAAGGGGGTGTCTTTAAAGGACATCTAATTTAGCAAATTTCAAATAATCGAACATGTATAAAACATGAGATTAGGAAAGAAAATGTTGTTTAAGTTGTCTGGAAACAAAAAAAATCTATAAAATATAGTTTACTTCAATTATAATTTTCATAATCAAGTATTTCTGCGTTGTCTGCGCGACTTTAGCTGTGTCTCATTTCAGAGACTGCATGCTTCGAAGAACACACACGAAGAGCATTTGCGTCATCGTGGCGCGACGAACGTTGGCTCAAGCAATCTCAATTCTATCAAATTTGAAGGCTACTTCAAACAAATACTGCTTCTGTTCTGAAATGGGATCGCTTATTATGCCACTGATCCTGTACGTCATGACGTTGGGCGGTGCGTGTGGGACGTCGAGTCGTAGTGAGCATCCGCATTGTTGTTGGTTGCAGGCGAGAATCACATCAGACAGAAAACGACACTGGTGTTGAATAGCAATCAAACTGTGCGTTTTTCTGGTGTTTATCAGTAAAGTGTTACAGTCCTGGCGATCGCTGCTGATAAGCGTTTGCAGCATTACAGATTTATTCATGCAAAACTAAATTATTGGCCCTCGGATGAGAACATTGTGTGCGGAATTACGGCAGGCCATCTAGCAATCGCTGTAGAAAGCTGCTTCTTTCTTTACACAACAGATCAGAGGTAATATGATCAATACATTACTCACTTTTAGCTATTTGTAAGGAATCGCTTGTTTATTGCATGGGAATATAAAACAACGACAATGGACTGCTTGTGTTTATGGCATGTGAGTCTGCCGATCAGTATCCAACATGATCCCCTGTAAATGTGTGCATGCATAATCTACAAATGTATTGAATTATATGTTCTTAGCATGTATGTCCTTAGCATTCTTCTGTTTATGCTTCTGATTAGCGAAGATACTTCGATAAAATACCTTAAAATGCTGATACGCTGCCATGGTAACCAGTGTTATTTTGTAATGTCATAACATCTCAATTATGACATTGGCTTGGCTTATGGCTTGCTATTATATAGAAAAAGCATTAGACGTACTTGCCATAGGCATTCAAATATCATGAAATTGCTGTCTAATACAATAGTAAGAATGCAAAATTTTCTCGTCAATTCAATTCTTCTTTGATTACATATTATTTAAATTTAAACCAGTGTTTTAACTAGTATTAAAGTATTTAAACCACACTGAACTAAACTAAACTGAACTTCAACTCTGAAATTTGTACTTCACTAGAACTATGTTTAGCTGCTTTGACTCAATGTACATTGTGAAAAGCGCTATTTAAATAAACACGAATTGAATTAAATATAGCACTTTTTACAAAGTAGATTGTGTCAAAGCAGCTTAACATAGAGGCCCTTCTGGTAAATTAAAACGGCTTCAGTTCATTTGTCACAGTTGAAGTATAGTTTTAGTTCAGTTCAGTGTAATGCAAAGGACGCTGCTGAATGCCAAAACACTAATAAGCAACTCTCCCAGTTTCAAGCTAAGCAAGCCAGTGGCAAGGAAAACCTTCACCAATTGACAGAAGGGAAGGAAAAAAAACATTGAGAGTAGCCAGGCTCAGCTCCTCTAGCCAAATATCTTGTTATTGTCCTTCTTAGTATTTAGATGTATTCATGAAAAAATATGCATGGATTGACAATTGCAAAATGAGCCTTATTCAACTGCACTATTGACTTAGAACTAACAGCAATTGTGTTTTCTTTTTGAGCTCTGTAAGGACCTCCAATGAAAAGAAAGTCACAGCCTCTCAACATATTCACCCCCCACCGTGAACCACTGACTTACGCCCAGGCCCAAAGGATGGTGGATCTAGAAGTTGATGGTCAGCTCCACCGTATCAGCATCTTTGACAAGCTTGAGATTATCACGGATGAGGATCCTTTGGCACAGGAAATTATAAAGTGCATCAGCAGTAAGGAGAATGCTGAAAAACACCTGCAGATTTCAGAATATTCTGCACAAATCAAAAACAACAATCAGAAAAAGAACACATCTGACAGTAGTATTCAAGGCAGCATCCTTCCTGAGCCCAAATTTCACACTGTGGATTACAATCTTCCAGTAATTCCAAGCAGACCTTCTACATACTACAAATATAAGCAGAAAACTGTAGAAGAGCTGGACCAGGAGGTGGAATATGATATGGATGAAGAGGACTTTGCCTGGCTTGACCTGGTCAATGAGAAAAGGAAGGATGAAGGTCTCAATCTGGTTTCTTTCGATGACTTTGAGTTTCTTCTTGACCGTTTTGAAAAAGAGTCATTCTTAGAGAGTCAAGGCCAACATACCCTACAGTCAATAGATGATGAAGATGCTGTTTGCTGCATATGCATGGATGGAGACTGCATGGACAGCAATGTCATCCTCTTCTGTGACATGTGCAACCTAGCTGTTCATCAGGATTGTTACGGTGTTCCATATATTCCAGAGGGTCAGTGGCTTTGCAGACATTGTCTACATTCCCCAACACAACCTGCAAATTGCATCCTCTGCCCTAACAAGGGAGGAGCAGTAAAACAAACTGAAGACGACAGATGGGGTCATGTGGTATGTGCTTTATGGGTACCCGAGGTTGGGTTCTCCAACACGGTTTTTATAGAGCCTATTGATGGTGTCTCAAACATTCCCCCTGCTCGATGGAAACTTACTTGCTACCTCTGTAAAGAAAAAGGTGTTGGAGCTTGTATCCAATGCCACAAAGCTAACTGCTACACTGCATTCCATGTCAGCTGTGCACAGAAGTCTGGTCTTTTTATGAAGATGGAGCCTATTAAGGTTTTGACTGACTCGGGTATACCCACATTCTCAGTGAAGAAGACAGCCTATTGTGGGGCCCACACTCCAAACGGCTCAGTTAAAAGACCTCTTGCAATATATAAAGACAATGAGACAAATTATGGGCTTTGCCAGTTGGTAGATAGAAAGAGCAGCAGAATAGGATTTAACAAGCAGAAGAGACTTAAAAAAAATGAAGAGGCTATTGTAACCACAATTCCTCCCTTGTCTGTACCCAGCTTTTCATCGGAAAGGTATGTTTGACAATGTAGACTTTTGCAAAAATTGGTGAGGTGTCTGAATTACACATGCTAAGATGCACAGATTCCACACTGTCATTGTTCTACAGATTGTCCCCCATTCTCAACCAAGTTTCTTTGCAAAAGAAGACAGCATTTGGTGAACTTGTCTTGAGTTACTGGACCCTTAAACGACAATCTAGAAATGGAGTGCCACTGAACAGACGCCTCCAAACTAGACTACATCCCCCCAAAAACAGTCAGCGCGTAAGTATCTTGGTCTGCAGTGTCTTTAAGCAACTTAATATTGTCATGTAAATGTCTTACCTGAATGTCTATATATTGTAAAAACAGAAACAGACAGAGGAGGAGACTCAAGCACTGAAAGAACAGTTGAAGGAGTGGCATCAGTTAAGGCATGATCTTGAGCGTGCACGAATACTGCTGGAGCTGATCAGGAAAAGAGAGAAACTCAAGAGAGAGGAGGTATGAGAACATCATACTATGTTAAAGTCAAGATGAGCATAATCTTTATTGTTTGAATGTGTGTGATCTTAAAGCATGACGTGTGTGATTCTGTTGCAGGTATTGCTTCAGCAGACATTAATGGAGTTCCAACTCACTCCTTTCACAGTCATTTTGAGGGCTGTCCTGGATCAGTTACAAGAGAAGGACCAGGCACACATTTTTGCAGAACCTGTCAACATTAAAGAGGTTGTTTTACAAGTTTCCTTAATTTTAACATAAGTCAAAAGACTTTTCAGTATGCATACAGTGTCTATGTCCACATATATATATATATATATATATATATATATATATATATATATATATATATATATATATATATATATATATATTTATATTAGGGCTGTAACGATACACCAAACCCTCGATTCGATTCGTATCACGATTTTTGACCCACGACTCGATTCGTATCACGATTTTTTTTTTTCGTGTGGGGTGGGGAAAAAAAGATTTTTAAAACTATTTTTTATTAAATATAATTATATCATTTTTGTTTTCTTTGTAACAAAATACTTTTGAAAAACCAAACCGAACTAAACTCCATTGTGTAGATGGTTCGAGCATGTTAAAAATTCTTTTTCAACCAAGTTCTCTTACATAGAAAAAGTAAATTAAATGGCTACTAGGGATGCTCATTTCGGTTAATTTTGCTAACAGACAAACGCCGCTCATTAATCGGTTATTATAATAACGGTTAACTGGTCAGAGTACTATTAATTTTATATTAAACAAATTGACGTGTCTATTTTGTGTCTGACACATTAAATATTGCATTTTAAAATAGGCTACTGATTTATTTTTAAATGCTAGCATATTAATAACAGAACAGAACAACAGAGCATATTCACGCACCTGCAGTGTTTAGCACAGAAGAGCAGAATAATTTAAATAAAATGAATAAAATAAATAGGACTGCCCTAAATTATTTTCATTTAAATAATTAATTTATATTACAAAACGAAAATACTGACTGATTCTTTTTAACAACTGGCATAGGCTGTTTTTTTCCAATCATGTTTTTTCTTCCGTCAAATAAAAATCGCAGACTTCCTCAAATTGCCCGCTCCACGGAAACAATACGGATTTATTTAATGCCCCGCTGTTATTATTATTATTATAACAAAACCTTTTACATTTTAATAGAAATCATTATTTTAAAGAATAAGTCCTGATGGTTTCCTCTCTCTCCCTCGCGGTTCAAGTCCGCGTGCTGCATGATGAAAAGACAACAACAACGCGCGCATATGTAGACTTTGTAAACAGTTTTGTTGTTTAAATATGCTATTGCATTAATGTGCATACATGCTTTATAAGCCGAAAACAAGGCGCATCTCACTGCCTTTATGTTGACAAGGAAAAAAGAAGAGAAGAAGCGCGGTCCTCTTTTGAAACGACTGAATCAGCTGGGTATCGATTGTGCATTAGTGTTGCTGTCTGTGTTGTTACAATTGTAATATTTAATGATATTGTTATATTCAAGATTTGTACATTCATACAGCTCTGGATAACTTAAAACAGCGATTAGACCTTCAGAGTGGCATGCGTCCTGAAGTAAAGCGAAACGGCTATAAATTTCCAGCAAGATAGAGTGATTATAACCAGAGTCATATACCTTTATCTATAAATAAAGTATAACTATAGAAACTGTGTTCATCTTAACTGAAAGCTTCGTCCTGTTTCCTGGCCTCACGCATCGCGCTGTCAGTCAGCACGTAACGTTAACTCTCAAAGGTTCAAACAGAAAGCGCACAGCAAGGTTACAGAAAAGTTTCCTCTGCAGAGGAGTCGGGGCATCTGGTGAACGCCCATCCCTCTCTGCGCAGCCACATTAACAACAATGCTTTGACAGCACTGGCGATGTTTCTGCCGTTGTCTGTTGTCAAGAGGGGTTAAGTTGGTTTTGTTTTTGATATTCCTGACACATTCAGACAGTCCCTTACTAAGAGCTCCGTGCGAGCTCTCCCGGTTAAACGCTAATTGCGAGGGCTTAAACGGAGCAGTGCTCGTAATGTCAAGCGGAAAAAAAGTGTTTCCTCACGTTCTTCTTCAACTAGCTCAACTTTTGCAGGCACGCGTGACGTTATTGGAAAGGTTGTCACGGGGTGTGTCGCGATTCTCCCTTATCACACCGCGACACAGGATCGTAGATCTGAGTGTCGCGATTTCGATTTTATATCGTGTATTGTTACAGCCCTAATATATATATGTGTGTGTGTGTGTGTGTGTGTGTGTGTGTGTGTGTGTGTGTGTGTGTGTATACATATATACATATGTATATATGTGTGTGTGTGTGTCTATATATATATATATATATATATATATATATATATATATATATATATATATATATGTGTGTGTGTGTGTGTGTGTGTGTGTGTGTGTGTGTGTGTGTGTGTGTGTGTGTGTTTGTTTGTGTGTAAAATCAAATAAAAGTTGCATGTAGAAACTATGCATACATGTATACATAAGCAGGGTAAATGTGATATCAAATAATAAATTTAGTTCAGAATGTCAAAGTATAAAAATGGAAACTACATAGATTAATGAAATAATCTTTTAGAACATTAAGGTGGTTTTATGGGGGTTTGATGGATAAATATGAATTTCTTTGTTACTAAATTTTTAACGGTGCCAAACAGCATTTTGCATTGTTTGCATATTTGTTTACATCCTTATGTCTTTACTACAGCATACAGTTAACGCTAGAAACTATATGCATGCAAGATACTAATTTTAACAAATAAAAAATTCTTACAGGTTGTGGCTCACCATTGTCAAATGCTAGAGACCTTTATTTTTTTACAATTCTCTTGAATATAAATACAAATAAATTGTGACCACTTCTCTTGTTGTGTCCAACACAGCCTAATAAAGTAACAAAACTCTGTGAAAAATAGCAGTGTGAAAAGAGCAGTGATTGGAAAGCATTTTGCCTTTCTCTGCTACCAACTTGACTGCCTCTGTGACCACGCAACTTTGTTGCATGTTTTCCTGGGTTGAAAACCAAAGGATTTATGACATCATTACCCCAGAAGAATTTTTTGTAGTCCCCAAACTCCGTTCCCTGTAGGCTTTGCTAAGCTAACTGTAAAAGCTAATGTCTCACTTTGCATTGTACTTTGAGGGTCGTACATTTAAAGATGTTGTTTATCTTCCCACATTTCACAAAAACTAAAGTTTAAAATATAATTTGTGAACCACCCGTTTAAAAGCCATATTTTAGGAACTGAATTTGAGAAAACATTTTCCTTTATTGGCGATGCAGAAGGTCGCTGGGTTTCTGATTCCACCCTCTGCTCAGTTTTCAATTCTGTGTGGAGTTTGCATGTTCTCCCTGTGTTCGCGTGGGTTCCTCCAGGTGCTCCAGTTTTCCCCACAGTCCAAAGACATGTGGTACAGGTGAATTGGTACAGGTGAATTGGGTAAATAGTCCGAAGTGTAAGAGTGTGTGTGTGTGTGTGTGTGTGAATGTTTCCCAGAGATGGGTTGTGGCTGGAAGGGTATCCGCTGCGTAAAAATGTGCTGGATAAGTTGGTGGTTCATTCCGCTGTGGTGACCCCAGATCAATAAGGTACTAAGTTGACAAGAAATTAATTTCCCTTTACTGATCTTCAAATTTTCATAACCATTACTGATTACCGATACCATTACTGATTTGTAACTTTAAACCACACTAAAAATGGGATTATATTATGTCAAGAGACTTTACTGATGACAATGTCACCATTTGTGTCTATTCCTAACAGGTTCCTGACTATATGGACCATGTGTTGCATCCAATGGATTTTTCTACCATGAGCAAACGCATTGAAGCACAAGGCTATAAGTATCTGGATGAATTTGAAGCCGACTTCAATCTAATTACTGATAATTGCATGAAGTACAATGGGAAGGATACATTCTTCTATAGAGCAGCTGTCAAACTGAGAGACCAGGGTGGAGCTATCCTCAGGAAAACTCGTCGAGATGTTCAGAGAATCGGCTTGGATTTGGAAACTGGCTTGCATCTACTGGAACCACCCAAGATTGAGCCTTCTGTTCCTTTTTCTTGGGAAGATGGTAAACACACAAAAACTGTACTTGTATATTGTTTGTTTGCCTTATTTTGAGGTATTTCGTACAATCATTAAAATAGAGTAAGAACAGGCAAGTGGAATCAGACTTCTTTGCAGTTCCCATGACTACAATGTAGTAAATTATTAATAAAAAATAAATTAACACTTGTACTTTGTTTTTCAGTTGACCGCTTATTGGTTCCAGCAAACCGAGAACACATGTCTTTTGAAGAGCAGCTGAGGGAGCTACTGGAAAAGTTGGATATGACTACAGCAATGAAATCCAGCCCGTCACGCAGCAGACGACTGAAACTGCTCAAGAAAAACATCAGTGACGTGAGGTTGGAGCTGAGTTTGAGGAAGGCTCTTACTGCTGTTAAACTGAAGAATGCTGCAGAGGAAGAAGTTGGCCATATCCATCAAAAAGGTGTGTTGGAAAATCTAAATGTTTGATGTAAACTTTCCAGTTCAATTCAAACTATATAATTATAGGGTATACAATAATCCAAAAAAAAAATTCATAAAGAACATTACTAGCTTTCATTTAAAGATCAAATTTAACAAGATTTATTTACAATTGCATTTGAGACTTTTATAATACTTTGCGGCTGGGTCATGTAATTTTCCCGGAAAAACAATGTTAATTACAATAACATTAGATATTAAATAGGTTACTTTTTAATAACATTAGAGCGGTAACAATTCTTTCCTTATGCATATCTTGTTCATACTGGCTAAAGTTATTTATTACTTTTCACAATGAAAAATAAACGGTGTGGCGTGTGAGCAGATTTCATATTTAATTATCAACCCTGTTGATGTAATTCAAGATTTTGTATCAGTCTATGTTTTCTTTATATTACAGTGGGGGAAGCCCTAAGAAATGTCCTCAGTGAGATACATGACCACATGTAGATCACATGTAGGTGAAGTGATGGTTTTGCATTGGATGGTTCATATAGTTAGGATTCTGTTAGGAATAGTCACAAACAGTGACATTCTCACCTGGGAAGTGAAATCTGAAAAAGAGAAAGTAAGGTTGCGGGTAAAAATACAAAAAAGACAACCTTCCTTTGACTTAATCCTTACCTAATATTCTAGGGCTTGGCAGTGAAATGACTCAGCAACAATCTGCACTAGGTTAGATATTTAGTTGTTACACACACTAGCATGCACATGATGTTTTAGATCTTGAAAAATGACCAAAAAAACGAAGCTTTGTTTTTATGGCATGTGTATGGTATGTATAAAGACTGCATATCTAATATAATGCCTAGTATGGTAAATGAGATGTCCAATTTAAAAAAGTAAAAGAAAAATTTCTTCCACAAATTTTCAGGAATTACCACCACAGAATTTGTAATTATGTTCCCACAAATCACAAAAACAATTGTAAAAAAAATAGGGGGTCTGTGTGGTAGGTAACCAAACAAAGTCTCCAAAACCGAGGTATGTATCGAACCATGACTGCAGTGTATAGTTACACCCCAAATAAATATATTTATATACACATTGTACTAGTAAGAGCAGAGTACGAAGCATGAAGTGTTGCCATAAAGTGTTGTTTGTATAGCCATAAAAAAATGCAATTTCTGTGTATTGCAGAATATGATAGCTTATAGGGGGTTTCATCCAGTGGACCAGTTAACCTAATCACAGTAAATGGCATTATGAAAAAGGAGCAATACATCAAAATTCTCAATAACAACATCAGGCAGTCTGCAGAGCAACCAGTGGACATTTCAGCTAAACAATGACCCAAAGGAAATGGTTAGCAGACAAAAACATTAACATTTTGCTGAAGCAAAAATAAAAGGCACATATATCACCTTACCTTTATCTTGGTTTACCATTCAATTGAAAATTAGTCATCTGATGAAAATCTGGGCTCAGATTTTGCTAATATCATGCCGCTGATGTTGTCACTTGTTTACCTGTTTATATTGTATATAATTTCTCTTTGTTTCATGGCAGGTGACAAATCGGTCCCACCAAAACTTGAGCCATCTGTTTCTGTGCTGCCTCTCATTAATGCGGAAAGTCACTCTGAGCCACCTACACTGAAACCCATTGAACCCAATCCCGACAAACACTCGCACCAGAAGGATGGCATTTCCCAGTCACTTAATGGAGACTCTCATCTGCTTTTAGAGGACAGTGACATCAACGTAGTAGCTACATCAACTCTGGCTGAGCCATCAAGTCCAGTTAACCGACGAACTTCTGTGCTTTTTCGCAAATCAAAAAGCAGCACAAGCCCTCTTAGGACTTTGAAAGATGATGAAACTTTGAAGGGAAGTTCGCAGATAGGTACAAAAACATTCTTGTCAGTCGTCATACCTCGCCTGGAGACATTGCTCCACACCAGGAAGAGGCCACGGAGTGCCAGTGGAGACAGTTGCAAGGATGAATTGCCCGTCAAACGGCTGGACACGGGTAAAACTAGCAGAAAAACAGCATAGACTAGTCTTACTAGTCACAACAACCCAGTGCTAACAACGAAGTGCTAAGTCACAAATATGGTCATGTCATGGCTTTCTTGGTTAAATTATCATAAATATGATGTCACACATCAACGTTTCTGGGTCCAAGCATTCTATTAAATGAGGATGCTCAACAAATGTGACTAATATACACACTTAATGCGCTTTGATACTACTGAAAAATCATGATCATAGTTTTAATATATATGCCTACTCTCTAATAACTAGCATACTGCAACCAGCATATTGCATACCACGACATTATAATAGATTAATTTTAATGTGTGATGTGGTCCTAAACAACTATCTTCTCAATTCAATTGAGTAGAGGTTTGGACCAGGAAATAGTACTCCATACGTCACAACTTAACAGTTTAACATTCAAAGTGCGTGATCCACCATTTATTATAACCTGTCATAAACTTATGTAGATCATGTTATCTAATAGTGTCAAAACAAAGATGAAATGGGTGCATGCCTTTTGAAGTACAACATTTTTCTGTCATTCTAATGCACACATTTCTTTGTATCTGTCAGAGCTGTCAAACAGTTTTGGCCTGAATTCAGAAAGAGAGTTGTCTTCTAGCAGCCAGCCTCGTCAAAGGTGCACATCTGAATCCAGCATGTCCTCCAGCAACAGGTGGGAACTTCAAATGTACTTTTTAAAAACAGTCTGTGATTCTATCACAATATTTACAATTATTTTCAACAGCATTATATTACCAATTCATGCAGTCTTTTACATTTACTAATTTTTTTTGTCATTTAAAATGAATTATGGAATTAGGTTCCACACAGTAAGAACTAAATACATTTTTTTCAACACTTTATAATACCTGCACACTATGAATCATTTATTAAGCATAAGCAAAAAGTTATCTCAAAAATTTGTGAAGCATTAACATTAGTAAGCAGTTTATAACTTCAGTTTTCAAATATTGTGAAAGTCAGGACCTCGATTTAACGTCTCATCCAATAGATGGCGATCACTGACAGTATAGCATCTCCTTCACTGTAACCAGGGCATCAGGACGCACACAGATCACAGGATGACCACCCCCTGCTGGCCTCTCTAATACCACTTCCAACAGCAATCTAGTTTTTTCCCCCATGTGGTCTCCCATTCAGGTTCAAACCAGTCTCAGCCCTGCTCAGCTTCAGTAAGTAACCTATCATGCATGGGCTGCAGGGTGATATGACTGTGGCTATATTTAAAGGCTTAGTATCAAATGAAAAATGCATATTTGCAATCTTATAAAAAAAAAAATGACTGTATAGTTTGACCATTACTGAATAAGAGGAGTGTCAAAATGCATAATTAAAAACAGCTTTTTGCTAATATTGTCTTATTGCTCATCGTTATAAATTAAAATAAGGACGCTTGACAGCTGAGCAGGACTCTGCAAAATAGTGTTAGCGCAAATTATCCGTTGAACTTTAAATGAAATAAAAATCCTATAGCAGGAGACCCAGGAGGACCCCACTGCTGACACAGAGACATAAAAAAAGCAAGACTATATTTTGCCAAAATGTACTTGAGTAAGTCTAAATGTTTCTGGCAAAACGTCTTGTGGACAGATGAGACCAAGATAGAATAAAAACATAAAAACAGAAAGAGGCCTACAAAGAAAAGAATACGGTATCTACAGTCTAATATGGTGGCAGTTCAAGTATGTTTTGGTGTTGTTTTGCTGCCTCTGGCACTGGGTTTCTTGACTGTGTGCACGGCATCATGAAATCTGAGGATTAACAAAGGATTTTGGATGGCAGTGTAGGGCCTAGTTTCAGAAAGCTGGGTTTGCATTTGAGATCTTCGGTCTTCAAGCAGGATAGTGACAAAAACATTGACGACCCTACAAAAAGCACAAAAAATGGATGGCAACAAAGCGCTGGAGAGTTCTGAAGTGGCCATCATTGAGTCCAGATCTATATCACATTAAACACCTGTGGAGGGATCTTTGAATTGCTGTTTTAGTAAAAGGCATCTTTCCAATATGAGAGACCTAGAGCAGTTTACAAAAGAAAAGTGGTCCAAAATTCCAGGTGAGAGGATTAAGAAGCTTATTAATGGATATAGAAAGCGACATGTTTCAGTTTTATTTTCCAAAAGGTGTGCAACCAAATATTAAGTTAAGGGTGCCAAGAATTTGCTTAATTAGAAAGAATTAGCTTTTTTCCTCCATTTTGTTTTGTTCCCATACACACAAAGGGAATAAACTTGTATTGCGAAACATGTCAATACAATACTTTTTTGTGAGAACTACTCAGAAAATTTCTGTCTAAATTAAATACAGCATTTGTAGCTGTAGTTATAAACTGCTTACTAGTGTCTAATAATGTAAAGTTAATGCTTAAGAAATTATGATTTAAATAATTGCTAATTGTTAATAAATGATTCATAATGTGCGGTTATTAGAAAGTATAAGCGAATTTGGTAACATTGTACAAGGAAACTGAAACTTTAATGGCTAAAATAATTCGCTTAACTTCCACAGCAAAACTATTATTAAACTTGCTAGTTTGGCTAGCTGTTTTTTTTTAACAATTGGATCTTATTAATAGAAGGGACACCAGTAGCTGTAATACACAAAATAATTGTATTAGATATGATTTTTTCTTTCAGTTATCTTACTTTTCATTTATGAATTCTTTTTTACTTGCTTACTTGCATACTTTTAATGAAAGTTCATGATTATGAACACAACGTGCTTGAAAACATGGAATATATATTTATGTTTACTGTGTATATTTATATTTTATATAAGGGGCAGTGGTTTTCTAGAATATAAAATTGCTGCTGATAGTTTGACAAAAAATGTACAAATGGGAACAGCCAACAAAAAAAATCTGTGCATCTCTGCATTCAGATCATTTTTAACAATTTATTTACCCCTTTGGGAATCTAAATCAAGACTATGATATTGCTAGTGCAATCATCATCTGTTTAAGCTACAATAGCACAAATTGCAACCACAAGAACTTGTCTGAATTTTCAAGTGCTTGAGTTGTCAAAATGCACATGTCTTCATACTTGCACCGTTCATCTTTTCATGTAAAGAAATTGTCTATTTGTGAGCTCATCTTTCATACCACACCTCAAATTATGCTTTCTCTATAACTGTTTTAGCAGTATTGCACTTAATCTTACGAAGTGTGGAAAGGGAAAGCCAGCCCTAATCCGAAGGAACACTGTGGAGGACAAAAGTGAGATTATTGCTTGCATCGAGAGTAGAAACTTTGCTAAAGCTGCTAGAATAGCTGCTGGTAGGTGTCCACATCTGTTTTCCTTTTAACTGATGTCTTTAGCATGAATACTTCATGGCTGAAAACCTGTGCAAATTGCGGTCAATGAAAAATTTAATGTTGATGTATTTACAATTATGCTAACGGTAATTACAAAGACAGATTTGAATAGGGTTGGGTATCGTTAGAATGTTAACAATTTCAATTTGATTCAGTTTATCGATTCCAATTACAAAAAAAAAGTAATTTAGGCCTTTTTACGCTGATATTTAAATGCATTTTTGTCAACCTAATCACACGTGGACAAAGAAGACGTAATTTGATGTAAGTTATATAATGTAACTGGTGTAATTTTTATTACTTACCAGAAAAAAAATCCAGATCATGTGGAGTTTCAAATCAATTAAACACACTTTATGAATAGGCATAATAGGTGCAGTAGGTGATTGTCTTCAAATACATTTTTTGTTGGGTTGACAATATTTATATGTGTTTATATATTCTGGGTTAGGCATAAGACAAAAAAGTTCCCATAATTCTGATAATTAGCCCAAACTGTCGTTTAACAAATGTGGATTTCTACATCTGCGACCCCTTTCACGCAGATCCGCCGTTTGCACACGCACGCTGCTGTTTGGAAATAGGAATCATTTTTATTATTTTTGTCTCTACTTCTTTTAATCAAACAATTATTTGTATTGGTCATGTAAGGGTCATATATTAACTGACCTTCTACTGTTGTTTGTGGGATGCTTTGCAAACTAATTAGCATTTTTGCAGAAGTAGACAAATGCTGGTCCAAAATTAAATTCAGCTCCGCATTAACTTCCTGTCTGAGGAAAGGTGTTAACACAGAAAGTCTAATGCTTTTATTGTAGATTGTATTATAGAAAAAATGGACTTATGTCAGGGGTGCAGCCAATGGAGGACTGGACAATTATTGTTAAATGACGATTTGTACTAAACTCCACCTGTTAATATCAGCTGCCTATATAAGTTGAAGTCAGGAAAGAAAGTTGTTGCGCACCTCCTTAATGTAAGTGTTGTTTAGCCACTAAAATCTTCCGGTAAAAGATTGATGTGACTATTTTCAATTTCATAAGGTACCTTTCACAGCATCCATAATGCAGATTTTTTTAGTTTAACAACAAAACATAAGTAAATAACGGTATTCTGCCTATTTTTTTTACCATGCTACTGAATATTCGGTCTGAAATAGCATGTAAGTATAGCTAGGTAATAAGTGTAATTCCTGCACCTCGTCAACCAACCACTAAGCATACAGTAGTTGCTTTAGGAAAAATCGCATGAGAGAGTGAGACAAAAGAAAAACTTTCAAGTATTGGAACTGGTAAGAGACTTCATACATTTTTCCTGGCAGATTTCCAATTGAGAAAATTTCATTGTGTGTATGCAGAGGAATCGATAAGTGGAATCAAAACTTAAATTGTATAACAACTATTTGGTTCCAGACTTGAAATAGATTTTCAATTCTCTACACTAAATTTTAATGTAATAGTTTTTATACTAGAAGGTACTGTTGAAAAGCTAGTTTTATACACTGTTGTTAGATATTACATTTTGCAATCTTGATTTTAAACATTCTATTTTTTTTTTAAACATTCTTTATTCAGTGATCTTTTATTCTAAGTTTTAAAGCAGTTCGGGAATTATTGTTTGCGCCATAAAGTGTATTTATTTGTAAGTTACAAACATACAAATAATCACAAGTGCTAAGATAAAAATTATTTCTGATATCTGTGGAAGCAATCAATATGAGTAAATAAACAAACTGTAATTTTTGGGACATCTATTGTCATTTATTCTCAGACAATAAATCATGAAAAACTTAAAACCTCCAAATGTGGACTTTTAAATTGCATATTTTAAAGGAAAGTGTAAATATGGCTATCCACAATGTTACTGTTTTTGTTTACCCTTATTTACACTTTATTTTAAAAATAAAAAAAGCCATTCAGGTTTTCACATTTTTTTTTTTTACTTTAAAATACTATTTTTATATGTATTATTGTTAATGGGCAATTACATTTTGTCTTAACCTCTAGTAAATTGCATATTATGCTGTTAAGCTGCCTAATTGTTTTCTGTGCTGTTATAATGTGTTTATTGATATTATTGCTTTTATAGAAGTTAACAGCAGCAGTATATGGATGCCTTCTAATGCAGCCACAGTTTTGCTGGAACCTCTTAAAGTAGTTTGGGCTAAATGTAGTGGATACCCTTCATACCCTGCCCTGGTGAGTAGTGTAGAAACTAGCTATTTTATGTCTCTAGCTTTTTCCTCTCATGCTTTGCTATGTAAAAGGAGTAGATTAATGTTTTCTTGTATTATCCAAAACATTCATTTATGAGCCTTTATTTTGATGGTCCATTTGAGTATTAGTAGACTGTCTGCTTAATATCTGTTAATACTGCTGCTAAACAGACATTTAACTGACTATAAGAAACTTTTCAAGTACATGTCAACTTACACTAATACCAACCCTAACCCCAACCTAACAGTCTACTTATAATCTAACGAGTATTAGTTGGCATGTAGATGCAATGTAACTTAAATTCAACAAACGGACCATCAGAATAAAGTGTGACCACATAGAATATTTGGATGAGTATGCATTAGATTGTGTGCCATTTAAAATTAAGACAAATGAGGTTTGCAAATATTGCACCATTCATTTAAGCATGTCAGTCTGTTTAGTCAGTAAGAATAGTTGCGTTCTCAGATCACTATGATTTGAGAATTTTTTTTTTTTTATTAGAAAAAAAAAAGAAGCTACTCTTGTGTACTATGTGGAGATATCCAGATTAGCACATTGAAGTTATTTGTTACAAAAAAAATATTATTACTACAAAATAACTACTAAATGACTATTAAATATATATATATATATATATATATATATATATATATATATATATATATATATATATATATATATATATATATATATATTTTTTTTTTTTTTTTTTTTTTTTTTTGCATGACTTCATTAATGATCACAAACAACAACAGACATTTTACAATTTTGAGGGTTGGCTTGGGAAAAAAAATTTTGATTTGTTTGAAGTAAAAAGAATTTGCATATTTTTTTTCAAATGTATTTCTACATAAATTAATTTTTTTTATATCATATTATTATTTTAATAAAATGTTGTTATCTAACATATTATCTTACTTAAGATCATAGACCCTCAAATGCCACGGGTGGGGTGTCAGCACAATGGAGTCTCTATCCCAATGCCCCCATTGAATGTGCTACAGATTGGAGAACAGATGCAGTACAAGTCCGAAGAAAAACTTTACCTCGTTCTCTTCTTTGACAACAAACGCACCTGGTGAGATTTCAGTAAATTATTATTTTTAAACTGTTTCTATTTAAAAACAAGGAATGTGTTCTTTGTTTTCTAATCAGTCAGTTTTACAATGTTGATTAATAGTTGACAATTAAATCAGAAAAAGGTCTATCCTTGTATTTAAAGAGAGTTGTTGTACATCACATGTGCACTGTATACCTTTAGGTTAGTATGTCTGCACAAATAGAGATTTGTTCACACTTACCTATGCAAATTTCACCCGAATAATACAATTTGTCATCCACAGAATGTTTTAATATAGAACAAAAATGAACGTTTTCCTCTCAAAATACAGCATAACAAGTGGAGCATTTTAATTTCCAAGCTGAAGCATCCACCTGCAGATCCTTGTTACATTTTACATGCAACTGCAGATGAAGGAAACTTTTTTTGTTAAATATGTACTAAACAGCTTGTGAAAGTGTTTTCAGTTACTTTTCAGTAATCGGTTTGATGTAATCCAAAATGATTGTGTGCTGTTTTTTTTGTTTTTTTCAGGCAGTGGCTTCATAAATCTAAGATGGTTCCTCTTGGTGTTGACAAAACCATCGACAAAATTAAAATGATGGAGGGTCGTACCTCAGCCATTCGCAAGGCTGTTCGGACTGCCTTCAACCGTGCAATGAACCATCTTAATCATGTCCAAGATGAACCTGTTAACGACTTCAGTGATGTTGACTAAGATTGACAAATGTAGGCACATTCCATAGCTTTAGCAATGCCTATTTCATACTGCAGGATTTTAAGCTGGATTTGCAAGTTAACAAGCTTGCTGACAGATCGGGGTCTGAAAAGTATTACCGATGTTCGGCAGTTTTACGCCACAGTCACACTAGAGTTTGAGAATACTAAACACTGATTAAACAAACTCCATATTTAAAATTTACACATTTCACATTTTGATTTTATATTAGTTTCATGCAATGCAAATTCGAATATCAGAGTTCTCCAAGCTTGAAACAAGCAAAACAAGCTTTCGTTTTCAGCCTGGTGCATTCAGCTACATATGAATGGGGTGAAAAGTGCAGTGTGACTGAAGCTTTTATGTGTGAACTACTGAATGACACATCAAAGAGGCTCGCTCGTGTCGCATACAAAAATCTAATATCTAGCAGGACAAACATTCTAAACCAGACAGCCGACTCGACACCATGTTATTTCAGATGTAATGACGATCTACAGCCAATAAGAGAGCAAGGCATGGATTGACGGGCCATTGTGTTCTCGCACTCAACAGAAATATCAGTGATTGGCTGGCATTGGTTCACTTATATCTCCCAGCAAGGACACGAACACAAAAGGATATGAAAGAAATTTAAAACAGCTTAGCCGTGCAGATATACCAGATTGATCTGATGACAGATCAGCTGAATAATGCATCTAATATGCGTGCCCTTCAATGCTTTCAGAGCTATAATTGGCTACTGTTATCTGACTGCGTGTCAGTTATGTTGGTCATCATCATAAACAGGCATCCAATAGTGTTCTGCTCTTTTTCACAGCTCTGCCTTGAACATTTTTTCACTGTGGTTTTGGATCAGACAGCGTTAATAGGTGACAGATTTGTAGTTCGATTGTGTAGTTTGTGACCCCATCTTGTGGATCATGTTGCATACTGTGAACACCACAACAACATGAAAACAAAACAATGAACAGCACAGGGATATGCAGATTGTTAAGGTCATGTAGTGTGAACTGGATATAAGTGTCACTCCTGCTGTGTGAAGATATGGAGTAGCAAAAATACATAGCAAAATATGTCTTTAGTCAGTTCTGCAAATACTTTAAATTGCATAAATCTTAATTTTTACTATGCCTTCACACCATCGCAGGTGACAAAGTCAAAATTTACTCTGGCCACCCCACCAACAATACTGTGCTTTCACAGCACTGCTGGCGAGAGCGTCATTAGCTTGCAGTTTGCACTCTGATGACTAACCATTTTTACTTGATTTCTAATTGAATAAATCAATCAAAAGCTGTTTGTGTAGTGAGGATTCGTGTTCATGTTTAAGTGCTAGTCTTTTTTCCAATATGTTGTCTATAGAAGACATTTATTAGCCTAATTTGTGAGCATGTTACATTACAAACTGTGAAACCCACAACAGCAATCATCAACCTCCACCTTTTTTTTTTTTTTTTTGCTTCCACTGGAACTAATGTTGGATCCAAAGTTTATTTGACTGATTTCTCTAGAATCCTTTCAAGCAGTGGACTAGTACATTCCCAAAGGCTGCTGCTGAACTGCATCATAGCTCAGAACTATGATGTTGGCTTGATTTCAACTTTTGTCACTCACACCGTCCAATGTGCAACACACTGCTTTTGCTAGAACTTGCCATTAAAATAAATTACTTCTGGACATTTGATGCTCTCACTTGCAATGTTGTGAATGCATGGTTAGATTTAATGCAATGGGTACTACTGTATATATAGTATTTATACATTTTTGTGCATTTTGGACAGCATAATTACTTTCTAGTAATGGAACAAATGGACGAACTAAATAAACTGTGTGAAACTTGAGCTTTAATGTTTGGACTGGAACAATGTGAGTGTTTTATTGTTTTTTCAAATTATTGAAATTTATTTACAGTTGTTCTTTCTTTGTTGTTGTTTTGCGTTATTGTTATTTTTTCACAATGGTTTTAACCTATTTTGATGTATTTATAAAAGTTTGTATATAATTGTGTCTGTCTTTTCCATTATAAAAACTTTAAAACCACAAGTGCGTTATTCTAATATTGTAGTGAAACCAAAACAAAATGCTGCCAAGTCTTCTTTTGTTTATGCTGAGTAAATATCTGTTTTTTTTTTCTCTCTGTTTGTTCTTTGTTTTGGGGTGAAGGAATTCCACAATAGTAAGAAGTTGTACTGGTGTTAATTTTTGGTGGGGAGGGGTGTTGGGGTTTATTTTTTATTTTTTTACGGGACATCAAGGGTTGTTCTTGTTTTTTTTTTGTTTGTTTTTTATGATTATTTTAATGAAGTAGCCCTTGTGGATATAACGGTTTATGTGACATTTATTTAGGTTGTTTTTTATTAATACAGTGAGTTTTTCATACAATGTGTCAAGTGTCTTAACTGGTAATCACCTGTTAACCGTTCTTTCTTATTTTGTTATTTATTTTTTTTTCAAATAAATTCATAAACAATCAATTTAAGTCTCAAGTTTTAATGGCCATCCACCTGGCCCCTAAAAAAAAACAAGGCATAATCTGTGTACTGCTACTTGGTGGCTCAATGGTTAGCGCTGTCACCTCACAGCAAGAAGGTAGCTGGTTCGATTTCCTCCGGGACAAGTTGGCATTTCTGTGTGGAGTTTGCAAGTTCTCCCTGTGTTTGCGTGAGTATCCCTCAGGTGCTACAGTTTCCTTCTGTCTAAAGACGTGGTATAGGTGGATTGAATAAATTAAGGCTGTACTCACACTGTACAGTTGCCTTGAACCGGGCCAAAGTACGCTTGTACCCCCTCCCAACGGTCCGCACTCACACTAAAAGGGCCTGGGCACGCTTACGTCATTGATGCTGCGCTGTTCAGTAGAGAAGCGTTCTCGCTCAGCACAGTGGAGATTTCTGTAGTTATATTGTTTCAGTCGTTTAATATGCAGTGACATGCAGTCAAATATTTCGCCAAACAGTCCTTAGGGATGCGGTGACTTGCAGTCAGATATTTCGCCGAATAGATCCGCCACTTTTAGCGCTTATAAACAATCATAAAGCCCTTGTGCTGCAGAAATGAGGAGGTCTGCTGAAGGCGTGCAGCTGTCGTGCAGTGAGGGGTTTGTGTCTTTAATATTCTAGGGCAATTTGCGTTCGATGAAAAGTAATAATGCACATTTTGCACTCACACTACAAACGTACCGCGCCAAAGCCCAAGTGAACCGTGCTCAGGCCCACCTTATCTAACCGGGCCAGGGCCGGCCAAGTGAACCGTGCCTGAGCCTGATTCAGCGCATTCACACTTCTCAAACGATCCGGGAAACGGGCCTGGGCACGGTTCGGATAGCATAGTGTGAGTAGGCCCTAAATTGGCAATAGTGCAGGGCTGTCCTTACTTAGTCCTGGAGGGCCTGCAAAGTTTAGTTCCAACCCCAATCAGGTGTGTTGAAGCAAGTTCGACCTAAAATCTGCAGTCCACTGGCCCTCCAGGACTGAGTTTGGACACCCCTGCTGTAGTGTATGTGAGAGAATATGGATGTTTCCCTGTTCTGGGTTGCAGATGGAAGTGTATCCACTGTATAAAACATGCTGGACAAGTTGGCGGTTCAATCCTCTGTGGCAACCCCTGATGAATAAAGGGACTAAGCCTAATGTAAAAGAATAAATCTGTGTATTTTCACACCTATATGTACGGAAGGATATTCTGCACATTTTTTAATGCAGTTGCAAATAGGGTGCATTTTCAGTATGTGGACGCATCCAAACACAATTGCAAATCCTGCATTATCCGTTACATTTCTGCATTCGCACAGTGACTGCCACATTTCAAGTGAAAAAGCAAAGTTAATTTGCAAATGCATTTCCCATGTCTTAAAAGCTATGAGGCTGACATCTAGTACCAATATTATTTGCTTTATTTGGTCATCGTGCATGCAACCTGCCAAAACTGAAACAGAATTGCAAATCCTTTTGCATTTAAATTTCCGATGTCTACACTGAAACCTGTCAATCAAACGACAAGGGTGGGACTAATTTATTGGGCGTGTTTGTATTCGGAAGTGACGTCATTCACAGTCGACGTAGTTAAAAGGTGAGTTCCACATGGGCTGTTTCTCAATTCCAAGAATGCTGAAAACGAACTTGTGTTCTTGTGGAGACCATTCTTGCCAAGTTATCTCAAAAGTACAAACTAAGGAGACAGCGAGAACAGAGAATGGCTGTTTCCTAATTTCAAGAACGCTGAGAAAGGACTCGTGCTCTTGTGGAGACCACTCTTGCCAAGTTATCTTGAAAGAACAAACTGAGGAGTCTGTGAGAACAGAACGTCTCCTGTGAGAAGTCAGATGCGTTCTTCCTGACGGTCACATGACCACGCGTTTAACAGAAAATTATTTATACATTACAGCATTCATACGACGATTTATAGTTTTTCCCCTTTTCACAATAAATAGTATGAAAAAATACCTTACAAATATATGTTGCACAATACAAATAAAACTAAATGCAATTTTTATGAATCCTTTATAAAGATTTTCATGGTAATTGTCACCGACTCGGTCCCAGTCATTCCCCTCGCTGGCCAGCAGAGGCCACCATCTCCGGACTTCTAAGCATTACATCATCCACTTACACTGATCCAGCACACCTGAACTGAATCTAGCTAACGACCCACGTACCCTTTATAAGCCAGCTCCAAACGCTCAGTCAGTGCGAAGTCTTGTTTAGCCCCGGCCAGCATTTCTGAGCGTTATTCCTGCCTGATTCCTCGTGTATTAATCCAGCCTGTTCCTGACTCTGCTTCGCCTTCTGCCTGCCCACGACCCACGCCTTATATACGAACTCTGATATTCGCTGCCTGCCCACGACCCACGCCTTATATACACGGACTCTGATACTCGCTGCCTGCCCACGACCCACGCCTGATACACGGACTCTGATACTTGCAGCCTGCCCTCGATCTATGCCTGGTAAAACAATGTGTCTTTTCATCGCCAGTCTTTATCCATCATCGACTGTTGCTGTTGTGTGTTTGCACGTTAGTGCATATTGTGTGTGTGAAATGAGAGCTTGATTAATAAATACTGCATAATGGATCCCTCCGTGTCAGTCTCCTCGTTACAGTAATGTTTACTTTCACAGGTGACGCAGTGGCACAGTAGGTAGTGCTGTTGCCTCACAGCAAGAAGATCGCTGGTTTGAGCCTCGGCTGGGTCAGTTGCCGTTTTTGTGTGGAGTATGCATGTTCTCCCTGCATTTGCGTGGGTTTACTCTGGGTGCTCCGGTTTCCCCCACAGTCCAAAGACATGCGCTACAGGTGAATTGGATAGGCTAAATTGTCTGTAGTGTATAAGAGTGAATGTGGATGTTTCCCAGAGATGGGTTGCGGCTGGAAGGGCATCCACTGCATAAAAACGTGCTGGTTAAGTTGGCGGTTCATTACGTTGAGTCGACCATGGATTAATAAAAGGACTAAGCCGAAAAGAAAATGTCTCAGTCTCATTTAGGGAAACTCAAGACAAATAAGCTATATCTCTGAACTCTAATAAAAAACCTGTATAAAATGCTGCATGTTCCATCTCTTTCATTCAGCCGCAAAGGCTTCTGCTACTTCTCGTGCAAGTTTTGTGCTTAAGTCTGCATGGATGCATCCTCTATCAAGAACACATCCGAGAATTTTCTCGCATGCCCCGTTTTTGCAGCCTCGAGCTTTGGAACTGAACGTTGGCAATTGATGATGACATTACACAAGGATGCAAGAAAGCATATCGAGAAACAGCCATGAACCATGGCAGCCAGCAAATAATGAGATTAGCAAATCGCAGGCGGGGGCGTAGTTGAACACGGGACCTTCAGGTAGCACACTTCTGGTCTCTTAGTTAGCTGCAGTCATGACAGATCACATAAAAGGGAAATAAATATAAATAAATAGGTTTATTAAACACAAAACTTTCCAATAAATAACAAGGTCTATAGAAAAACTTCCAGTAGAACTTTCACAGAAAGAGCCAGATATATTAATGTTACTTTTACAATACTGTGTAGACAGCTTGACAGGATACATTTTTTTAATATAAATACGGTATGTCACAAAAGTGAGTACACCCCTCCCAGTTCTGCAAATATTTATTTATATATTTTCATAGCACAACACTACAGAAATGACTCTGACACAATGAAAAGTGGTCAGTGTAACGTTTGTATAGTTAAATTTATTGTCCTCTCAAAAGAACTAAAACTACAGCCAATAATAGCTGAACCCCTGACAACAAAAGTGAGTACAGCCCTAAGTGAAAATGTCCAAATTGAGCACAGTTAGTCATTTTTTGTCATGTGACTCATTTGTATTACACTGTTTCAGGTATCCACAGATAGCAGGTGAGTTAAATGTGGTTTAAAAGCTCTTCCACTCTCTCCACCTGGCCACTGTAAGGTAAACATGGTACCTCTTGGCAAACAACTCTCAAAAGACCTGATAAAAACTTATTGTTGCTTTGCATAAAGATAGCCTAGGCTATAAGAAGATAGCCAACACTCTGAAACTGTGCTGCAAAACAGTGACCAAGACCAATCAGCACTTTAAGAGGACAGGTTCTTCTCAGAAAAGGCCTCGCCTTGGTCTGCTCAAAAAGATGAGTGCACTTTCTCAGCATCCCATCCAAGAATTGTCTTTGAAAAACAGATAGATGAGTGCATCCAGCATTGCTCCAGAGTTCGAAGGGATGCAATGTCAGCCTGCCAGTGCTCAGAACGTACGGAACCTGTTCAAAAGATGATGCACAAAAAAGCTTGCAAACAACCAGGTAAATCATACATAGACAGGTGTAACGGCAACCAGGTGAGTCATACATGGACAAGTGTGTCTTGCCTACCATTAAACATGTTGGTGGGAGTGTCATGATCTAAGGCTGCATGACTGCTGCTGGCATTGGGGAGATACAGTTCATTGAGGGAAACAGGTGTTCTAACATGTACTGTGACATACTGAAGCAGTTCTCTCAGGAAACTGGGCTGCAGAGCAGTGTTCTTGCATGGTAATAACTTCAAACACACCTCCAGGATGACCACTGGCTTGCTAATGAGGCTGAGGGTAAAGGCGATGGACTGACCAAGCATGTCTCCAGACCTAAACCCTATAGAACACCTCTTGGGCATCCTGAAAAGGAAGGTGGAGGAGTAAAAGGTTTCAAATGTCCACCACCTCCATGATGTTGTGATGGAGAAGTGGAAGAGGATTCTAGTGGCAACATGTGAAGCTCTGGTCAACTCCATGCCCAAGAGACTTGAAAGTAGAGACTTCTTTTCATTGTGTTAAAGAGTAATTTCTGCAGTATTGTCCTATGAAAAGACATAAATAAATATTTGCAGAAATGGAAGGGGTGTACTATCTTTTGTGACATACTTTATATAAATTATTTTCTAAAACAATTATGTAACAATTTGTCAAGAAATATTAATGGGGTAGCGTGATCAACGACAACGATATTATATTGCAAGTC